TGCGGAGCGCTTGTCACACAAACATTTCTGCTGTCACAGCAGTTTATCACACGTAACACAATGAGACACCCCCCCCCCACACACACACACGCAAAAACACACACACTCGCACACATACGCGCTGTCCCAAAGCAGCCATTTGTCCCAGCTTGCAGAGAGTGGATAGGAGGGGAGCAGAGCAGAGAACAAAGGAGAAGAGACAGTCAGAGAGAACAGTTGTGTTTTCACAGTTGTTTTTGCAAATTTGCTGTGAAGTGAAAAAGAGGGCTTCTTGGCACCACACTGCTCCTGACTGAACACACGCTTGACCGTGTGAGAATATGGGTGTGCACATGGTCTGTTTGACACATATCAATCAGCTTTAGCTTTTTATGATATAGCATGATGCACTTGCTGTGTTTTATCTATGGATATAAAGCGTATATCTTCTATTGCTATAATCCAAATAAATATTAATGTCAGTCTTCAGAAAATGAAGCCTTAAGCACTTGTATACCTTTGAGAAGGGTGTTTGTATGTCTAGCAGCTTGTGTTGATCAGAGAGATAGAAGTGTCCATAATTAATGTCCAGTCTTAGAGTCAGCATGCCTCAGTGGCGGCGCTCACAGGACAATACTGAGTTCACATATGCACACAGCTCTGTCTCTCTCACACACATACACGCAAATTCAAATGCACAAAACATGCATTACCAACAAAAATTTGACACACAATACACACATTTAAAGTCCATTTACATGGAGGCCCTCATCAAGTTGATTCTCAAGAGGTACAGAATGTGTTATTTCAGTTTATTCCACAGTCTGCAGCAACTTTAATCAAATCCTTGTACATCAGTATGATAATAAAGGTGGACATGGTGCTCTTAATCATGCAAACAGGTTGTTGGCACCAAGATTGTAATTTTAATGGACATTTTGACTCGTTTCCATTTATTAGAACAGGGATCAGCAACCTTTACTATCAAAAGAGCCATTTTTGGCTAACAACCCGACCCCAATGTTAAAACATCAGGTGCAAGTTGAACACGTTCTATGTTGCCATCAAAGCTATATTAGCTGTACACAATAAGTACTGAGAGTATGTAAAACAACACAGACAAACAGCAAGGAAGCGTCATTGACACAACAGTAGTAGTAGTCCTACAAATAGATACCATATCATCAGCTGTGATTCAATTCAATTTTATTTGTATAGCGCCAATTAATAACAAAAGTTAACCCTTTTCAAATAGAGCTAGTCTAGACCGTACTCCTTATAACATTATTTACAGAGACCCAACAGTTCACTGTGATGCTGAAAAAGCGAAACGTTAAGGTTGGTGTTTAAAATGTAATCATCTGGCTAATAAATCACTTGTAATAATCACACTTGTGAATAATTAGAGTTGGTGGCCAATTAAATGAATAGCAAAAGTTACTCAACCGCCAAAACCAAGGCATTTCAGAGTGCTTTCAAGACATTTACATTTTAACAAACATATTAAAAACATAGTAACACTTAAACAATATATTATAACTCACACAGTACATGTAAAAAAGGTTAAATGAACAATTAAGGCTTTCCCCAGACTTTTCTTATAAGGCATAGGCAAGGCCAGAATGTAACACATGATGACCATTTAAGTTGACTACATGTGATTTTTCTTAGGTTGTCGTGTAATGGCTACACATTTTTGCAACTGGAGATTGTAAGAACGACTTTAGGCCTGCAACAATGATATATGAAAATGCCATACATATTATTTTTTGTCGAAGCCACAGGGACCCACTGGAGAGGCTGAAGAGCTGCAGGTTGCCTACCTCTGTATTAGTAAAAGGGACAGTTGATAAAGTGTATAATTCCAGTCAGCCCCATTTACTTCCACCATCCACTGAAATCTCTAGACAGACAAAATTAAGGGAAGAATTTAACTCAGTTATATTTTATTTTATTCTGTCCATTGGGAGCATCACTGAAGTTCAGTCATGGATTACCTAGCATTTATAACATGTTGTCAGGTTACCTGTCATGTTGATGATTACCTGTTGCAGACATCCTACCTGCCTACTGGTTCTTCTTGTTTGCTCGATTTTGACCTGTCTGCCTGTTGCGAATGCAAGTGTCTCACAAGAGCTTTTTGACCTACAGTCAGCAGTTTGAATGCTGCAAGTGACCCCTGCTGAATTGTCCTCGAAGGCACCTTTTTGCATCTCATCAAGTCTTGGTGAAGACCTGTGACTTCTGCCAAGACACTGCCAAGCTCAGGCGACTAAAGGTGATTTAGTACCATACAGACATATCATTTAAAGCAAATGAAAACACCCATACCTTGCTTTGCAGCTTGATAAAAGCACAATAACATGTTTATACAAAAATTCTTAACAAATATGGGTAGGAAAAATGGTTTTCTGAAACACTTGATGATAGGGCCACTGGACCTGACAAGGATTTTTAGATGAGCTCATAGAATCAAATGTAGTTGACCCGTCAGTGGCACAAATCTACTCCCGTAATGGAGCCTAGCATTGGTTCTTATCAGAGAGAAAGCTGCCAGTATAGTTGCCACTACATTTATTCTGCATTTAGAGGCACACAACTGGTTGATGATGAATTCCAACAGGTCCAGGATGTTGTAAATAGACCTAATAATAATAAACCATTTGAAAGTCTGCCCCCTGAGTCACAGGCTTTTTGTTGCTCTATGCAATTAAAAGAGTACTGGATTTTGAAGTCTTGGTCCTCACGGTGCACTCTGGCCTTCGAGAGTGGCAATTGTAAACGGAGATATTTCACTATAAACTGTTGGCCAGAAGGTACACTTCTGTTCTTACTTACTCTTCTGATCTCTGATCTGATCCACCTCTGATCCTAAGTTTGATGAAAGTCCCTTTTCTTTTTTTTCTCTAGGAGTAACCAACTTCAATTTCAAGTCTCAAGAGAACCAATAATGTGGACTAGCAAATTCATAAATTGTGTCAAAGTCACACTATCGCCTCTACCTCGATCTCGAAAACAGATTTCATTGTTCAAACATTTATTTCTGACTTCTGACATTTCTGAATCTGAGCAGAAACAACACAACAGAAGTATCTGCTTGGTTTCATGTGAATATCTCAATCATAAATGTGGACTTTAAACATGTTAAGGCCCAAAACAACAATGATTTAAAGATGAGAGCAAATCAGTTTGTGTTGTACGTCGCACAGAATGTAGGTTTCATTGGTGCAACAGCAGACAAGGCAATGCAGCATTTCAGGGATCCGTAGTGTAAAAAAGTTTTAAACCCCTGATATAGGATTTTAACAGCACCATCAGATCTACACAAGATAGAATTATCTACATCGAGTGTTTGAAACTAAGTAATCTGCACACTTTTCCTGATTTGCTCTCTCATATCTCAGTTTTCCATCTCTCCCTCCTTCAGCTCCCCTCCTCTCTGTATCTTTTTCCTCAGTTTCATTTAATGCCCCCCCATCCCTCCTCCCTGACCCTTCATCTCTCTGTCCTCTCTCTCTCACACACACACACACGCTCTTTCCATGTCTTTCTCTGCATGGCTGGGCTAATTGAGTATCTAAACAAACTAATTAATCATGGGCGTCCAGCGAAGACGGACAGGTCCAGAGAGGTGATGTTCATCAAACTGCCCCCCCACCCATTTTGTTTCCTTAATCCCCACTTGCAGTTTATTTTGCTGAATGCGCACATTCACTCCCCCTCTCCTCCCATCCCACCCACCCTCCCCTCAAATCCCTTTGCCACGGCCAAGGTTATACCCGTATACACACTCATTCACTATTTATGATTTTGCATAGAGGATAAGTGCCCCCCTCATACCCCCCTCCCCCTTTTTCTCTTTTCCTCTTTTCCTCTTCTCTTAGAGTCAGGGTATCTGGGTACATTAATCAAAAATAATGAATAAAATGATCAGTCTGACAATGCGGCGAAGCCTCCCTCGGTTTCAGGAGGATAACCGACCAACTTTATTAATCAACATTTCCTGATTAATTGTTACAAAGTGTCATCCATAAATTTACCTTCATTTTAATAGTACTTTGGCCAACACTAACAATATCCCCCGTGACCACAGATTTATTGAGGCCTTGGCCGATTTGAGAGAGGGGAAAAAGAGAGAGAGAGAGAGAGAGAGAGAGCAAGACTGAGGTAAGGAAAACAACATTCCCTTTAACAATGCTTTGAATGCAGGACTGAGACTGTGGGTAGATTTGCAGCTCCTGAACACTTAGTCTTCAGAATTGGCCTAATGGCAGTTTGGTGGCTACAGCATGGCCCCATGGAGCTCTCTCTCTCTCCCTCTCTCTCTCGATCTCCCTCTTTCTCTTCTTCCCCTGATAAGGTGAGGCGGCGGAGTAAACCATTACGGGTGACAGTTTCACTTTTCTCCCCCTAATTACTTGTTCCTGCCCATGTGGCATTTCTTAGAAAAATTTGTTGAATAATGACCGGCATTAAAATGGAGGCTCTTAAGAATTTATATGCACCGGCTTAATTCATCATGTACTTTCTTTATCTCCTGTGTAGATTTATATCCCGGCGTGTCGCAGGGCCCTCTGCCTTGTGACAGGGGCCGTCATCTCCTTAAGGGCACGGCATGTATATCAGTCCCCCCCCCCGCCCATCCTCCCACCCACCCACCGCTGCTTTCCATCAGCAGGCCTTGCTAGGCAGGTAGAGTGGAGACTGCTGGAAGCGTTTGTTTCTTTTGTCGTTTGTCTGTTAAGCGGATCGGAGCGGTGTCATAGATTCTTGTTTAGGCGTGCTTGTTTTGTAGGTGAGTAATCCTCTCCACTCCAGGAAGACTGCTGTCTGGGCAACACATGTTTAAATATTCATTTTTCCCACTTTTGATATACAACCACTTGACGAAATGTGCTGAAAAGTGGAAGGGGGTGTCCTAGGCGACGCTGACCTTGTAAGAGTAGTGTCCTTGCTTCAAATCTGACCAAGGACCTTTGTTACAGACCCACATCTCCCCCTCCCTTATTTCCTGCCCCATCTCCACTATCTAACAAAGGTAAAAGCTTGTAAAACTATGGAAGAATGTTGGGTACTGATAGGATCAGGGTCGTGTACTGTGGGCTGATTAGGGGTCGAAGGGTGGGATGAAAATAGGAGGTGATTCCATTGGGAGGAGTCATGGAGTCATGGTGGGGCTGGAGCGGCTAGGAACACAGGGGTTGAGACTCAGGTTGGACACGTCTCGATGAGCTTATGGCTTCATCATCCCCAGTGGTTCCTATAATAGATGAAGAAAAAGAAGAATTATTTAGATGGAAGAATTAACCCTAACATGCATGTCTTTGATGGTTGGAGGAAACTGGAGCACCTGGCAGAGAACAAACTCCACTCGGGAGGGACCTATGCTATGAGGCCACAGTGCTGACCGCTGAGCCGGGAAAGAGAGAAGAACTGGGTTTAGGCGGAGGGTTGTGAGACCTGAGACAAATGGGAGAGAGAGGTTAGACACACTTATATAGGTATGCACATTAGCAAGGCACAGGTGATAAGTTCAGGTCTTGTCGCTTAACCTTAGTTATGATAACTGGTGTGCAGACAGTGTGCTTTTAGGTATTGGATGGTCAAATGTCCCAGGCACGCCAATTAAGCCAGGAGTAATTAATTAGTACAAACAAATGCAGCACAGGTGTGGAGTTTGTCCCTTTGACTTCAGCAGAAGTGATGAGTGTCTCAACTGGGCTGAAGACATGCGGGATACAAACCTTTCTAGAATATGACCCAGGAATTCATACGCTACATGTACGTCCACATCTGAATACAAGGGCTTACATGCATGTATAATACATGTTGGTATTTGTGTGTATATTATACCCCCGCCTCCCTATTTAAGAATGCAGAGTTTTTAAGTCAGGCATTAGGATGATTAATGTACAGTATGAGGCGAAGCGTTCTGAGAGCCACCTACAGCCTCGCCTTTATTACTGTTGTTTTTTACTATTTCCTTAGGGTAATTCACTACCTGTTCTCTGGAGTATACCCACTTAGGACGGCTTTCCACTTTCAAGGGCATCATGGTGGGCATCTAATGAGAAGAGCTCTAATGTCTGAATGGATGGTGACCTACAGATCCCTGCATTCAGTGCCTACTTTTCATTGGTGTTACATACTAATGTGTTTGTATTGTTCGACTGAGGATTTGACTTTCATGTGGGAGAGATCACTTCAAGTCACAGACTTGCAATTAGTATTGTTTTGTTTTTTTCTTGTAACAATGATCTTTTCCCAACTTCAAATTTTTTAGTTGCCTTGCCATTTACCTTAACCATAAATGATTTGCCATTACCACAATCTTTCCTTAACATTATCCATAGTGTAGTTGCTTTGTGATGACCTTGTAGAAAGAAGGATTTAAAAAAAAATGGTATCCAGGGTTTTGCAGAATCCTTGAATATTCCTCATACTGGATAAGAATTTATTTATTGTTTTTCAGGTCCAAGATGCATGAAATTCTGCCCACATTCAACTTTCCTACACACCTGGGAACATAATATCAAGATGACGACATTAGGACAACTTTGTTTCAACCAATTTAACTCCATGCCTTCTGTCCCACCAGTCTTCTATCACTAAAGACCCCAACCCCTATGGTGGCCGACAAGAGCAAATGCGGCGCAAATGGCAAAACGCTGCAAACACAGGAATGATGCAAAACCAAAAACACACAAACACATAAAACAAATGCAACAGAAAAACGCAGCAACAGAAAAATGCTGCAATCACAGAAACGAAGCAGAAGCAAAAACTTACAAACCCACAAAACAAATGCCAAAGAAAAATGCTGCAAATACCAAAAACACACAAAACCCCAAAACAACTGCAAGAGAGAAATGTTGCAAATTCACTCCACAAAATGGAAGTGTGCCAGGCCACTAGGGGGACCCGACCTGAGGGATGGACCAGTCCTGTGGGACCAGACCCGAAAGACAAAGAAGAAGAAGAAGTTATAGTTACGTAGCTAATGTTAGCGTGCTAGAAACTTTTTATTTTATATTTATAAGAGCTTGTGTTTATCTAAGGGATAATGCCCGGCCAGATGTCCATTATCTCTAATTAACTAATGTTAGACGATAGAGGAGGAGGGTGGTGGAGAGAGATTCAAATGAGACCAGAACACAGAAAACACAAATCAAACAGCCATATAATTTACTGAAAGTGGAATATTAAAAAAGGTCTTTTTATTTCATTTCATTTAAATGTTCAGGAAAATAAAATATCCACTCTCTCTGACGTAACCTCGCCGATTTAATAATCTCCTCTTTCCGCTCACAGGGAGTGGAGTGAATTTGCAGCATTTCTCTCTTGCAGTTGTTTTTGGGTTTTGTGTGTTTTTGGTATTTGCAGCATTTTTCTTTGGCATTTGTTTTGTGGGTTTTTAAGTTTTTGCTTCTGCTTCATTTCTGTCATTGCAGCATTTTTCTTTGGCATTTGTTTTGTGGGTTTGTAAGTTTTTGCTTCTGCTTTGTTTCTGTGATTACAACATTTTTCTGTTGCTGCGTTTTTCTGTTGCATTTGTTTTATGTGTTTGTGTGTTTTTGGTTTTGCATCATTCCTGTGTTTGCAGTGTTTTGCCGTTTGCGGCACATTTGCCCTTGTCGGCCACCGTAAACCCCTAGCTCTAGGATCTGCCCCAGCACAGGACCGGCACAGGTCCCATTCAGTACCGAAGAAGTACATTAGCTGGTCTTTGTGGGTTCAGGCACAAATAGGACCTATGAAGACCTCCGGCCCATACTGTATTGTCACATAAACATAATAACACACAGATAGCTGACATAAAGCATATTAAAAAAATATAAACCGAAAGCAAGCATGTCATGTTGTAACTGTTGCACGAAACCGAAGCCCAAATCAGGATTAATAAATCTAAGACTGAAAGCCAAGAAGTATTCTTTTACTCAAGTAAAAAAAAAGTAACAAAAAGTATGCTGTAAACATACTCTGCAGCAAAATTGCTGTATTGAAAATGTCAAGAAAAAGTAATACCTCAATGTTGTACAGTGAAGTATATCATATTTGTACTTAAGTACTGCATTGATTTACGTATTTACACATTTGCCTAAATACGCTCTGGTTTTGTAGTGTAGTGAGCACCCATAAGAGCTACACTTTTGTTGAGCTTATTGTTAATACTTCACTACTGAAATTCATCTCTGAACTGTGCTAAAAAATTATGAAACTGGTGTGCTCCAGTTTTGCTTTCTACCTGATGTGTTCTCTGGGATTCAGGAGTCCCTTCCTGTACAGTATGTCCTGAGGAACTTCAAGAGCTCTTGCAGAAAGTCCCTGTCATCAGTCATCCTGCCATTGCACTAGCCAGTAATAATAGAACATTTATACTTCCACAATTGCAAGGTCATCAAGGGCTGCTCCAATGAGTGAAGACTGACATTATGTGTCAACCAATAGAATACATTTTTGAGAGTCTAATTTTACTGTGGTAATTTTGTAAACTTTTATTAGTGGGTCAACAAAAAAGCAGAAAGCGACGAGTCTTACTGCATACATAGATTTTTCTGTAATCATGTAAAAATAGTTATTCATAAAAGTTTGCAATCCAGTGTCCAAAGATAAAGCACCTGTCTTAGGGCTGTTTCTATTTATCCTTTCAAATCATGGATATGATTTATAAATGGAGGATGTGTCTTTCTAGTTTTTTAGTGAAACCAATTCACAAATCCGGGCTCAACTGTGCAAGGCCATATAAAGCATACAGTATGGAAATGATATAAACTGTCCTCAGGTACAACCAAGCACAATGTGCCCTGTCCAATTAAAGAATCCCTCCAGCGAATACATTCGTCTCTGCACTGGATGTGAGCTGTGATCCGATTAACCGACATGTTCGGCTTTTATCGCTCCGGGTGACCTCAGGCCCTTTGGGCATCACTATGCTAATTGCATGCAAATTACGTAATAGCTGACACACTTTTGATGGGAGCATAAAATGAGTGACATTATAGTGGTGCACTGAGGTATTCTTCACATCACATCAGAGCAGGGGAGTACATCCAAGCTGCCAAGTGGCAATAATGATTGCACTAGAAAGTTTATACAGACATTTTGCTCACTTATATATGCTAGATCATAATTACTGTCATAATGCAGTGTGTTTACGGTGCTTATTATGATCAGAATGCCTTATATGTACAGAGGTATGGATTTAAAAAAGAGTGGATTGAATATAATTGATGGATACGCCATGGCCTTTGACCTTTTAAACACCAAACCACTTCCTTCTATCGTTTGCCTTTGTAGGGCAGAAAAAATCTAAATTCATGACTTAAGGGAAACATTTTCTTCTGCACTCTTCCATTATGAAAACAACATCCCATAAATCGATCCCTAAATGAATGATAGAGAAAATGACATATACCGCAGGTCGTGGAAAATGGTTCTACAATTAAATGTAGTGATAAGAACCATTCATCTGGAATACTATTTAGACACACACACACACACACACACACACACACACAAATAGCAGCGATGTATGTATCAATCAGGTATGACAGCGTTTAAGTGTGAGGCTGTGACATGACAGGAGCTTCCTGCCAGGAGGCTTGTCTTTCTAATGACAGCCACTGCTCTGGAACGGAGACAATCTGGGAGGCACGCACACACATACGCGTATACACACACGCTCGGCCTTTGCCTCGATCTCTCTCTTTGATAACTATCACTGTCAAGGGGAGACAGAGCCCAATGTATGACAATTTGTTCATTATCATAGTGAATAGATTTTCACAGGCTCCCCCGCCAGTCTGCCACTGGCGGATAGATGAATATCAAACAGGCCTCTCCTTTGTCCTAGGGGCCAAATTTAGGAAATAACATCTCATCCTTACTCTCTGCCTGCCCCTCTCTCTCTCTCTCTATCCCCGCCAGTAGGACCAGTGACACCTCAAGTACCCATCACTCAGCCCAGTGTGTGTGAGGGTGTGTGTGTGAGCACTATGAGGGCGTATTTCTGAGGAGGAATTGGGAAATAGCTGAGATTAGAGAAAACACTCTATGCACTATGCGCAAGAAGACAAAACAATCCTTGTGCAAGAGAGGAATTGAACAATGGCCTTTTGATGACATAATATAAATGTTTAAGTTTCTGTGCAAGCACTGTACTTCAGTAGTTCCAAAACTACGACACAGCAACCAAATTAGACATTTACAGAATTTTTGGCGTGAAAATAATAATCACTGTGACATAATGTTGGAGTTTTGGTCACAAAATAAAAACATTTAAAAGTATATTTCCAAGACAACACTCACTTTCTGACCCAAATCATACTGTTTAGCACTTATTATCGCTGGAAAATTTAAATATACTATAGCCTAAAGACTAATAACATATAAAAACAAATCTCACTGTATTATTATTATTATTATTATTATTATGTGGGTATCCATCCTAAGGTGCTAACTTTGATCTTGGAATAATAAAAAAAACTAATTTCACAGAAAAAGAAATCCATGGAACTTGGAATAATTGGAAAGAAAAAAAGAAGAAGCTATTTAAAGGAACAGTTCTACATGCTAGAAACTAACTCTTATTTGCTTAAATGAGAAGATTGATATCACCACCTCTCTAATCATCTCATCCAAATTCTGGTATAGTTCTACATTTTAGGAATATATGCTTATTTACAATCTTACATATATTCCTAAAATGTAGAACTATACCAACATGTCAAACTACTGCCTTAAGACAAAATGAATGCTGATTTATTGACACAAAATGTTGTCTCATTACATACAACCAATGGGCCAAGATCCAAAAATGTTAGTCCAGTCCTACCTTCGAATTAAGTTACGTTTTCTAGTCCTTTTAAAAATGGATTATCGTTATGGTATATGGATGCTTTTGTTTTTATTGTCTCCATGTGATAAAATATATTAATTTGACTTTTTATTGAGCTCCAGATAACTTTCACTGTATTGTGTTATATTTTAGTACAAAATACTTTTATTTAATTTTTCAGTGGCAGATGAAACAGATTCTTATAACTAAACAGTATTGTGTCCGTCGAAGAAGCAAAAGGGTGTGTATGCACGTTCGGTGCTGTCCGTTCTGTTGGAGCATGCTCAGCAGACCGTGGCGGTCCATAATTAAAACCTCCGCTAGGACAGCATGCAGGATAGAGTTCCCAGACCTGTCAGGACCTGGCAACGCAACTATACCCGCTTCTTACACACACGCAGGAAAAGACGGACCTCTCTGGTTGTGTTGCTCTATCACACACACATTATATCCAGAGACAAACAATGGAGCAGTAGTCTCCATTGCTCTCAACGTGACCTCTGCGCTCCTTTTCTCTTGCCTTCTTCTCTTTTTTCTCATACTTCATTCTCTCCTCTATTCTCTCTGTGTTGCATGTGCATATTTATGATTGTTACTCTTTCAAGTATCACACTACGCCCTCAGAAAAGCCAGTCCAACAATCCCTTTTACCTATAATTTTTTTTTTTTTTTTTTTTTTTAGTACGAGATAATTTATGAAAATGACTTTTTGCTCATTTTGTTTAATGTATGCACTTTAACAATTAATAATCCAAGCGCTGGGAGATTTTCAACTAAAGGCCATTAATTTGTATAAATCTGCCAAGCTCTGACAGCAAGAGATTTTTTAAACTGATCTGAGGGAAAGTGAAATTATTCTCTAGCCTCGGGTTAAATATTACTTTTCTCCAGGACTTCTCCTGGTCCGCCGGCTCCTTGCCGGTTTCTGACCTTGTCATTGATCTAACTCTCCCTCACTTGCTCTCTATCTCCTTTTCTCTCACTGTGTTATCTGTTTGCATTATTTTTGCTCATTTCTTCGGTTATCAGGGAGAGGTGTGTTTTGTTTTGTGAGTGGCCTCAAGGCCTTTTGAAACAGCTCCTTCTGAATCAAAATGTTCCTCCTGCCATGGCTGAAGGAGGGCCAGCACATCCTCACACCTTACTGAAAAAATAACCAGTTTGTAAGAGCATTCTGATCTAATCTATTGGACTTATTTCTGATTTCAGGGTGAATTAAGCAACTAAAAGCCTTGATGAGGCAAAGATTGTTGCAACGATTAAAGAAATTGTGCTGTGTTCCTTTGCTTGGTGGAAGATTGGACATTAAGTGTGGTCTGGTGTCCAAGTCAAACATATGTGTACCATGATTGCCCTTGAAATTTTAGTGCAAGTAGCTGGCGTACAAATTTACAACCTATTCTCATTCTCAGGTCATAAATACAGAGGCTTTAGTGTATGAGACACACCGGGCTGCCAGAAAGCCTTTTTAACGTGTGGTTATTGTTGTGAAACAGTCACAGTTTGGTAAGGCTTACCAACCAAACTACCTAGTTTGGTTCAGGAAAAGATAATTTGTGTTAAAATAAGTATGTTTGTCACTTAAGTAACGTTATGTATGTGACTTAAAATGAATAATATATGTAACTTAAAATAACTCAATGCTGACTTTTGGTTTTACGTGGGATATAAACAGCAGTCTCCCGAGTGAAAGGCCTGTGTCTGTCTGACCCCTTCATCCATTAAGACCTCTTCCCTACGCTGAGTTTTTCTCTCTTTATATATTTATCTTTATATATCACCTGACTTCTTAAAGGCTTTCTGGCAGAAAGGCTTTGTAGCAGCCTGATATGTCTCATACAGACTCTAAGGGTACCTTGTGCACCTGTATGAGACGCCAAGGGGCATGACAAAATGTTGGCATTTGATGACCTGGGAATTAACACAGTCTAGAATTTTATCATAGATGGTCAGGTTGTGGGTGTTAAATACTGGGGGGCAGCTAGTAGAGCTTAACAGAAAAAAAGACATTTGTTGAATCCTCAATTGGAAACCATACTGTAGTCACTGAGAAACGTACAATACAAGATTGTGTGTGACATCCACACTGCGGTGCAACAGGGGAGCAAATGTCCTGAATGGGTGAATCATGATGAAACATAGAGGTGCACAGTATTCTGATTAAAAAACAGTTAAATCAGTTCATCATTCATTCATCAACAGTTAAAATTGTTTTAATAACTAAATGTACAGTACAGTTTGGTTATATAAGATTAAAGTATAGTTAGTATTCTAATGAGTTCAGAAAAATTCACTGAGGGGCTGTTTGCTTTGCATAAAAAGAAATTATATGAACTGGCATCTGGCCTCTGGTAGTTTGTAGTATAAAATAAATATTAGTATAAATAATTATCTGATGCTAAAGCACACCACTGACACCAGTCTATAGCCGGTTCAATAATGTTCCTGCGTGTTCTTTTAAACAGCAGGGTTCTTGCAGTTGTTTTCTCGGGGAACTCCTCTGGCACACTTGACTGATGTATTTTATATTTTCAGTGTGCTTGGAATAAACTTAAAGAAAGTAAAGTTAAGAAACGATCATCACCGACGGACATCCACACTATAAAAGACAAAACACAGCTCATTGCTGAACACATGGCAGTAAAGATTCAGGGATCACCTGTTCCCATAAAGCAACTCCTACAAATATATCCTCATCCGAAACTTCCTCACAGAACCCATATCTATCCCAACCTCTGTGCTCATCTCCCAGTATTCCAGTGTTGTGCCTCTTTAAGCCCGTTCACCTGCCTACTGCTGCTGCTGCTGCCGGATTTGTTATCTAGATCACAGCCATTTAGAGCCCTTCATTCATCATGTACGCCAGATTTGAAACAAGGCAAACAGAGGCAACTGCAACACCCACTACGCCCGCCAAAAGCCTACACCGTTCTAGGTCAAGGTCATGGATTCATTCTTGCACCCAAATGCTGAAAGACATTTTCATGGACAGACAAACAAAATGAAAAACTTAAACACAAACAATAGACACAACAATCGCAATGCATATTAAAAATGCTAATTGTTTTATTTCTTTTTATTGATTATTTGAATATCCTGCTTATCCCGACAACAGAGATCTTTATTGATGTAATAATTTTGTCATTTTGACCCTCTTAGCTCCTCTAAAATCAATACACAATGTAAATCATGCCTACAGTGGCTTTAATAAGACATGCTTCTCACTCAAACTAACATATGCAGTATTGGTTTGCAGTGTTACAGTGGAATATTTACTGTTAATGGCGGCAAATCATGATAGCAAAATGAATCTGTTACACAGCAGAACTTCCACTGTCTTCTAACGCATCAACAATCTCCCTCCATCGCTCCCCTCCCTCCTTCTCTCGCCCTCTCCTCCTAGTGGTAGTTTTTTAAGTTCAGACTCTGAGAGCATGTCTTCATTAGCTGCATTAACATTCACGGGCTGTAGTAAATTCTGACAGTGAAAAGGTCCCCGTAACCTTTAGTTGTGCAGAAATTTACTTCCCAAGAAAATTACAGCTGGCACTGTCTTAATTAATGCCTGCTTTCTTCTCCTGAAAACCCAGAGCCTGTCAGCTGGAGGAGGAGAGGAGGAAGAAGCAGAAATTAGAAAAACAGAGACTTGAGCGAAGAGAGAAAAGGGGAAAGTGGGAAAAAGGAAACCAAGACAGAGAAGAGAATACTGAAGAAATTTGAGCAGACTAAATGGTTTTACTTACAGATATGGGGGTGGTGCTGGAACACGAGACGGTGCATAAGAATAAAAAGTGGGGAATCGAGGCGGATTTCACTATATTGCTGTTTGTTGTGGTGTTTATGTGCGAGTGTGTTGTTGTTGTCGCCCGAACGCTGGCTATTCCCCCAGTAAGTAGATTCAGTAGATTCAAATCTACACTATCTTCCGCACAACTCCCATCTCCTCTCTCTCTCATTCTCTGCTTTTTGTCATCCAAAGTGGTATGAGAGAGAGAGGCGAGGGGGGCTTTGGAGGAAACTAATACATATTTTATCCCAGGCTATCTCCTGGGTGCAGATGCTGCTTTGTTCCAGGCCCTCAGAGAAAGAGAATGGCTAAAGAACCAGAAATCCATCTTCACACTGGGGAAGCACAGGATCGCAATCCTGCACTTATTGGGCCACAAACAAATTAGAATAAATACCAACATCCGTCTACATGGCAAATATAGCACTAAATATAATGTGTGTGTGGTGGGAGGAGGTTGTGTGATGGGATTTTTTTAAGCTTTTAGAGGGGGGGAAAGGATCACGCTCAGTGATAGTTCCCCTCCCTAATTGTCCAAGCGAGCTACTCTCATGGCTTGATCATCTTTCTCTCACTCAGTCTGGGTGTCCCCCCTTTCTACCTCTCCCCCACCTGCACTCTCTCCTCCTTCCATCTCCACAGACGCTAATTAGAGAAGTGAGTTGCAGCTCTGTTGATAGACAAATGTCAGCATGAGTCTCCAGTTGCTTGGTAATTGCCTGAATCAAAGCCGCCGGGAGAGCAAAGATGGTGAGGAGACAAGACATTGCACACGCTGAGGGGTGTCCGTCCGCCCGTCTTCTTGCATCTACAAGTCAAATCGTCTCGAAATCACAGACTTTGCAGCATTGGCAGAAAGGGGAAATTGTTGTGAGGCTCTATCTGTTGACGAACTACATTTTAGGTGTTCACCTGGGTAACATTTAAAAACCAAAATGTGTACTGCTGAGGTATAGCCTGTGGAGCCCAAATGTCACACATGCGATTGCCAAATTTCACCTCGGGGTAGATAAAATATAAAACGGGATGGACTTAATATGGTTAAGAAGTCCAGGTCTCTAGCATATAGTGTACAGGTTGTTTTGAAATCATTGGCTTCTCCACATAGCTGAAGGTAAATTAAGCAACATCTTTTATTAACAATAGCTTAAAATATAAATTAAAATAGGGCCAAAATAAAACAAGTAGTTCAAATAGATAAAAGTCCAATAACTAAAAATAAGGAGGGTCTTGGCTGAAGGCGCATCTGCTTACTTTTACATGAGCACTTTATATAAATGTTAAAGGAGGAGAGTTGTGCTGCCCAACACTGTTCCACTGCACCTAAGTGAGCTGTCTGTAGATGAGCAACAAAGTTATTATCACTCTACAGTAAACTGAGCCCCAGTAAAACAGTCCCCATTAGTAGTCCTAGTGCTTAATAATGTTCCTCTGCAAAATCTTCATTGCGTTTGGACTTTTTCCCACTTGAACTTTCATTGTCGTCCAGTGAGAGGTTCAGATCACAGCTTCCATGTACATCTGCCTTGCTACCGTGGTACTGCTTTCCCAGCATGTGGTATTGTCCTACAGACAGCTTATATATCTAGCAGGGACAGCATGCTACAGTATTTGGATCCTTGGGGCCCCATCCAGGCACACCCCCACACGAGCACCTCACTCTTTAGTGGAACCCGTATACGGTGCTGGCTAGTTGGCCACATGTACCCCAGCAACCTGTCCTCAGCCATGGCAGCCTCAATCAATTGTCTCTCCAAACTGTCTTCAACTGTCATAATAAGAATGCAGACTAGGCCATTTAAACTGAGAATCCCAACAGGCAGTCACTATATTTATACCATAAGGAGATGGTTTGTAAAATCGTCATGCTTTCACTCTCACAACCCTTCTCCCAGGTATCTCAAAACCCTCTATCTCAAAGTAGCTCAAAGCCATTACCTGCTCTCAACCAGAATACTCTAGGGACCTTGCCAAATCTTAACCTGGGCAGAATGCTCTTCAAACAGACTCACGTTAAGGTAACCTGAGACTCTGTATATCTAATAATCCTTTCATCCTTAACTCTATGGCTACTTCTATGATTGAACACTGGCCAATAATTGCTTCTTTGGCCGTCAACTCATCTGAAGGTTTTTCAACCCCCAGCCCTCAGCTGCAGGGATAGCTAGTTTAAGATTGGCTGGGCTACAGCTGGCTTCCTACAGAATCTGGCAATATGTCCTGCCTGCCTACACTGGCAGCACATAGTGGCAGAGGCGGTAAGGTATCTGCGGCTAGCTGAAGGAGCGGCTTGATTTCCTTCATCAGTTCCTGGGTGAGTCCTTTCATCTGAGATTTTCCTTCAAGTCAGTTTTCTATAACAACTAGGGGACAGGAGTGGGATTAACTGCATGACAGTTTATCTTTGCTTGTCGTACACCTCCATGCTCTGCATTCAGTGGGAACGCTTACTGATGTACTGCTGCAAAATCCTCATCAAGGTGTTATCTAGCATGAACTTTCAGGGCCTTCGCACAGTCTCAATAGCAGCTGGTCCCATAGGGCAGCATCAGAGGGGGCATAGTCTGGGTCATGCTGCCGCAACTTGCAATAATGCTCTCTCAACCTTAATATAAATGAGGGCATGACTCTCTGTGCACAGATAAAAAATTGTGACCTTAAAACTGAGGTCTCCATATAGAAAGTCTAAATAACAGTAACACCTTTTATTAACAATAGCTTAAAATATAGACTTAAATAAAATGGCCACTATTAGGTTAAGGTTAAATAGCAAATAAAATAGAAAAATTAAAAATGAAATAGAATAGAATAGATTAGAAGAGAATAAATAAAATAAAAATGTCTTCCTCCTGTGACTACATGTTCTGCCGTGATCATCCCTGTCTTGATCCCTGTGTCCCGGGCAACATGCTGCCTTTCGGTTTACTCCAGTTGCTGTCCCATCTACTGTCTTTCGGGAAGCGACCAGGGCTTGAACAGGTGTAAAGAATTCAAAATGGCTGTGGCTTTGAGTCAGAGGTAGCAAAGGGGTCCCAATACTAGGAATTACATACAATCACAGTATGTTCAGTAAGTAAAATACACAAATAAATAAGTCATAAAGAAAGAGCATATAAATAAGTAAAACCATGCTAGAACCGGCAATACCCTAGTCCTTCACAGCACATATAAAATACATGTCCCGGACCCTATCAGCATGGCATTGTTTTTTTAAATAAGTAATCCACACTTGTTTCTTCTTTCTGCTTTTCATTCCCTTTCAAAATGACTCATATTAGCGTTTTCGGATCTGACTTCCCTATCGCCAGGAGGGCCATGTTTATCAGGGCTGAAACAAACCAGCCCAATATAGGAATTAAGTTTATATTTGACAATTCCGCACATCATGATGAACTTTTCAGAACCGACAATCCAGAAATCATGCCCACCACATGCAGTGATTGGCCGTGTGTGAAGCTGAGAAAGTATTCCAGGTTTGACCTTCTCTTTCAAATGTCTTCTTTCATGCTTCACACAACTACTCTTTTCTTTGAGGAGAGACTGTCCAAAAAGTGCGCACCATTGTCTATTAAAACGATTATCTTGTTGAGCCCCTTTCTATGATGACATGCTGTTCACCCCGCCTTTGAGTGTGTCTGCTCCTAACAACTATAAGCACTTTAGCCTTCTGACTTGGTTGGACAGAAAAAGGTTGGCGTGGTGGATAGGCTTGTGGCACATCTGAGAGTGTGTCCTGACACAAATCCATTTTTTAAAATCATATGTCCCTAACCTTAACTTGTTTTAGTTTTCTGAACCCTAACCATACCTTAACCCTAGTTGCTATGTGCAGATATTGTTGGCATTTAACTTACATCATTTAAATAATGTAGCCCAGGGTTTTAGCAGAGTCATCCATTATCAACACTCTTGCCTGGTGATAGGGTTGTTCAGAACGACCTTTACAAAAATGATTCATATGATCATTTTCTGATATGCCACTGCTATGAGCTAAGGGTTGATATAGTTTTGGCACAAAAAATACTTGGTTAGGGTTAAGGAAAGATTGTGGTTTGGACTTAAAACACTACTTGCTCATGATTAAAATACTTGGTTAAGGTTATAAAAAAGATCACGGTCATGGTTAAAAGAAAACTACACTGACTGTTGGTAGGCAACAGGTCACATGATTGATGGCCCATCCATCCATCCCAACCTCCTCCTCACGACATTCTGCTGTATGTCAATGTAGCTATTAGCAGTTTAACAACGTAACAATTAGGATGGCTCCTGTTTAAAGATGACAGATAGACCTGCATTTCCACTTTTATAAAAGCAGCTTATCCATTTAATGTCATGCTACTTCCATTTGAGGGACAACAAATCCAAAGGTGTATTTTCTCTGGGACACAAGAAGCACAAGAAGGAAAACTTAAACGCAGATGGTTCTGGGTAATTGAACAAATAATCAATGCACATTTATGGCGATGACAGTGTGCCCTTTCCTTCCTCTTCTGTTTTGTATATTCTTCCCCTTGGTTTGAGAAAGAAACTAATATATTACACGGGGGTTCCACTTTCTTCACAACAAATGATTAAAGTATGAAGAAAACTTTATCATAACACATGGGCTCATTTGACAACAAGAGCGAGCCTTGCACTCTGCAAGCCGCTGGTCATTATTTTGTAACACATCATGAAATTTGGAGGCGTCTAACGTCAAGTAGTTAGGACTTTATTTTTAACAAATGGGCAGCAAGCTTCAGGCTACTTGTTTAGCAGTCCACATATGACACCTCTATTAGAGGAACACCCTGACCGCTCCGCAATAAATTCTCATGTCACCTAATTATAAAGGGTTGACTCTGGCCTTAGTTAGAACCACAAGAGTCTACTCTCTAAATAACATCTTGAGCCAGGCCATCAAATATCTTCATCTCATTTGCAGAAAAGCTCCTTCTCTGTAAGTCTCACATCTTTTTTAGCTTGCCTTCACCCTTCCTCCATTTGTGTGACTTGGTGACTTCATGCAACTCGTGCACATTACCATCACTCCAGCAGCACAGTTAGGTATACCAATTATATCAGCTAATCAAAACAATTA